CTGCTGCTCAGAGCTGGTGTCCCAAGCCAACTCTTAACCAATGTGCCACTCAACTGGCCCTAAAGATCTGGATCTTTACACAAGCCTGAAATTCACAAATTTGCTTATTTTCCTATACTTTTGATAGCTTCCCCTACTCTGTATAGCTTTCATCATCTAATCACCCAAAGTAAAAACCTAGGAACCATTATTGTGTCTGCTCTTCTTTTTACCAATCACCATGTGTTTCAGAAACCGTGCTGGAATGTACTTCCTTTATTCTCTCCTTCCTGTGGCTGCACTACTCAGGGCTCTCCTAGCCCTGACCTGACTACAGCAGCTCCAAAGTGGCTTTTATGCCCCCAGTCTTGTCCCTGTCAAGTACAGCCTCCACGACCACCAAAGTGTTCCATCTAAAAGCATATCTCGTCCTTTGATTAGAACATATTGGAAACTCCCCCAAATCACAGGACTCCCCAGTAGTTAGGCCCTCCTATTTCTGGTCCTTGCCTTCTCTCCAGTTTGCCACCTTACTTTGGACTCTATGTTCCAGCACTGAACTTGGTACAAATTCTGGCATGTGCAAGGCTGTTCTTGACACCTGAAATTGCTCATGCTGTCCCTTCTAACTGGGAAACTCCCCTTCTCATCCTTCTAATTCCTGCATATTTTTAAATGTAATTCAGGTAGAATTTCCTCAGATAAGCTTCTTCTAACCCTGAAACTGCCATAGATGGCCTTCCACTGAGCATCTATAATAGTCTACACATCTATCCATTTTTCCATTCACCCCACATATTATGTTATGCTAACCTATGCTGTGTCCATTTGCCCCTATTGGACATAGCTCCTGGGATCACACTTGTGGGGACCAGGCCCAAACCCTAGGCTAAGCAAGCTCATTTTGGAGCGTACCCCCGCCCAGAGGAATGAAAGAAACTTCTGCTTCAGCAAAAAATTAACAAAGCATCTTGTCAAGAGAATAGGAAAAGATAAGTTAGGTATATTTTATAGCTTGTTAGGGAAAGATAAGTTAGATATGTTTTACAGCTTGTTAGGGAAAGATAAGTTAGGTATATTGTTAGGAAAAGGTAATTAAGTCCTGATTTATAGTTCCTTAGAAGAAAATAGACTTGCCAAGTTTTATGGCTAGCTAGAAGATAAGTTAACTCTGATTGTTAAAATATTTTCCTCTTTTTACTTACTAACCGCTTTTTTTTTGCTTCTGTATCCAGCTTCAGCTGTAAATTCCCCACCTGCCAGGACTTGGGGCCGTTTTTCTTTGAGGGAGATGGACACCAAGCTTGGTAAATAAGGCCTTTGGAACGAAAGCCCTTTGTCTCAGTTCTTGTTAACGACCTGCTCCCCAACACACTCTGTTCATATTTAATCACTCTTGTATAGTACCCAATAAATATTTGTTGAATCAATACACAAATGAAAAATACAAATACCATGCAGGCTAACTAGCCTACATATTTTTACTGAATAAATTTGATGCATAACATTGTGTAAGTTTAAAATGTACAGCTTATTACTTTGATATATTTATATATTGTAATATGATTGCCAATGTAACAATATTTATCACATTATATAATTATAATACAATATTATTGTCTATATTAGTTATATTGTGTATTTGTTCTCTATTGCTTGTTTACTACTTGTTGCAAGTTTGTATCCCTAAACAACATTGGTCTTATGCTCCTATCGCCCCATTCCCTGGTAACCATCATTTTACTCTGTTTCTTATAGGTTTAGCTTTTTTAGATTCCAGATTTGAGGAACGTCCATATTGTTTTCCATAGTGGTTGGACCAATTTACATTCCCACTAACTATGTATAAGGGTTCCCTTTTCTCTACATCCTCACCAGCACCTGTTGTCTCTTGTCTTCTTGACTGCCATTCTAATTGGTATGAGGTGATATCTCATTGTGGTTTTGATTTGCATTTCCCTAATGATTAGTGATGCTGAGAGCATCTTCTCATGTGTCTGTCGGCCATTTTGATATTCTCTGTGGATAAATATCTATTTAGTTCTTCTACCCATTTTTTAATTGAATGTTTTTGTTATTAAGTTGACTGAGTTCTTTATATATTTTTAATATTAACCCTTTATTGATATACAGTTTGCAAAAATTTTCTCCCACTCTGTAGGTTGTCTTTTAATTTTGTTAATTATTTCTGTGGCTGTACAGAAACTTTTGAGTTTGATGTAGTCCTGTTATCAGCCAAGAGAGGCATCCCCCCCCCCCAAATAATTTTAAGTTTTCTTTCCTATAGAAATGTTAAGTATAGAAATGTTAAGTCTCCTTCCTAGTTTCTTAGTTCCTTAGCTCTTGGCTTTGATTACTTTTCTAACCAGTTTGTAAATCCTAGACTAAAGATTGCTCCTAGCCTGAATCCTAAAATTTTATCCCCCTGTTTCTTGATTGCTTTGTAAATCAGTTTCTGAATCCTAAACAATGGAAGTCTCCTGCTTCAGATAACTGCTTGAAAGCCTGTGACTTCCTAATGTCCCCCCAGGCCAGTAAGCTAAATGCCAAACCCATTCTGGGCCCAGACAACTGATGCCACCTGAGTAACAGGCTGAATAGCAACAGGCTTCATGAGAGCTAAAGATTTATTAATTAAAATCTATTTTTCCTCATTCAGGGACCTTGGGGATACAGAGGATACCCCAACAAGATTGCTGGTCACAAAGAAGCCAACGCAGTCTTCCAGGCGGAGCTTGAGACCCCTTCCTCTCATCTGAGATCAGCTAGGGTGAGAGTTCCATGAATCCCCCAACAGGCAGGGACATCTCTACACCCCTGCCCAGCAGGAAGCAGATACAGAAGAAAAGACCTCCTGTCCCTCAGCTTCCCATAGAGATTTCACGGGGATCACGTCTCCCAAGGGGAAGGCTAGGCAGGCAGACAGAGGCAGCCATCGGGTCTCTGCACGTCCCACAGAATGTGACGACCCCCCCCCCCCAACCCCCCTACTCCTGGTGATCTCCCCTCTCAACCCAAAACTTCTTTTCATTGTAACTATCTACCCCTAAAACAAATGGGTACGACTAGATCAAACCGACACACACTCAGCCGATTTGCATAAGATGCGATCTAACATGACCTGATAGCATCTCAGTGTCCAGGCTGGTTTTTCCTGCGGTCCCCAGTTCAGTGCCTGGCCCTGGAGACCGGATTCCGAGTTGAGGTTACCACTCACTGACCTTTTGGTGCTTGTGCTGGAGATGGGCAGGTAGTCCATGACCGCGATATACACATACTGCTTGGCGTCGTCGATCACGCTGTAGATGGCATCGATGTCAAAGCTTCTGTTTTTAGGGCAAAAGAGTTTGGGGGAATTCTGTGAAGGCACAAAAAACAAACTTTTAGAGTATTAACTTTTGTTATCTGGGAATTTCTTTGTTTTTCTTTTTAATTTGCTTTAATGGATCCTGGCTTTTAACTACATTTTGCAAACCTACTTTCCCGTTCCTTATGAAATAAGATAAATAATATTTTCAATCCTATCAGAAGTGAGACATGTAGAGATCAAAGTGTGGTAGGATTGGTCTCAAGTCTGTCCTTTAAGTCTATTGTGGGAGGGAATTCTTGCTTTCAATACACACACCTCTGGTTTTCGGAGGAATACTCCAGCTCTAAAGTTAGGAGGTCCTGGCGTATATTCCCGTCATCCATAGCTGTTAATTTTCTCAGGCATTACCATGTAATACATATATACACATAGCACGCAGTTTATCCCAGAAGTCATTTCATCTGAAAGGTCATGTGGCTATAAAAATGTTCAAGACAATCTAAAAAGGTTGGTTTTTTTCTGAATCTTTCATCAAGTCAGGGAGAGGAGTGTTGATTGCTGAGAAAGGGTCAATTATTAATTGAAAGGGTCAATCAATAATTCTAGAGAAAACACCAAGAGAGATATTAAGATGCCCAAATTCATCAGGAGAGACAGGGAAAAAAGATTTTCTGAAAGACTTAAGCAAAATGAAAACGAAGCAAATTATACTTGAGATATTTGTCTCATGTTGTTCAAAGTGGTTTCCATCTTTAGAAAAAAGGATGGTGCTTTAAGACGACGTTGCTTTAGAAAGGAAAGGTGTATGTTGGTTTTCTCACTGTTTTTCCACTGGAAAGGGCTGAAAATAGTGTTTTTGTAGTTCCTGTTTTACTCTGACAAGAATACTCCATGGCAAGTAGAGGAACAGAAATTATGCCAGGAGTGCTTAATACCAAAAGGCTGAATAAACACTTTCTGGAACTGTCTGAAAAGCCAGTACTGAATTCCACATCAAATGTTCTATCAATCACGGTGCTCAGGGTCCCTCGTCAAATGTTCGGGAACAACGGCCCACACTGTGCTGGGGGAACCCTATCCCAGCTTACAGAGGGAAGACGAAGCTATTGGACTGGATGCCCAGCCGAGGAGTTTGGGGTAAGGAAAGGGCACATGGAAGGTCACACACCCTCCAGGCATCCCTGCTCAGCGAGTCATCTTGGCAGGTGAGTAACAGAATGAGTTTCTGATTGTATACATTATCTTTCTTTTGGCATGAAGATGAACTTCCAAGTCTTAAAAAAAAAAAAAACTAATAAAAAAACCTCCCAACCCCCCAAATAAATAAATAAATAAATAAATAAATAAATAAATAACCAACAAAAACCAATGCTAGTCTTACACTCTTCCCCCAGCACACATATATGCAGGTACTCCATCTGTCACCAAGACAGCTGGTGTTTGAATGGTGGTTCCTGTGTTGTCCCTCCCTCTTACTCCTTGGCCGTTTCCCTCATCAGGGCACTAGTGCTGTTTGCTGGGGCTTCTGCATATCTCCCTATATCATGTCCTTGTCTCTGATGGAATAAAAACAAACACGAGCCATTCTCAGGGCTCCTGGCGTCTCAGAGTCCAGTCTCAGCTCATTGGCAGGGATGTATCTACGAGCCCCCTGTCTCTCTGCCTCCCTCACTTGCTGGGCTACCATACCGACTGTTGCCCAAACTGAAATCATCACCAGTCCACGGCCTTCTCTCACCTCGTCTGCCTCTGTACATAGGCTCTGCCTCCCGCTGATGTGTTCTCTTGTTTTTGCCTATGTGCTAAGCTCCTGCTCAAATACTCTCTCCTCCATGAAACTTTCATCTCCCCACCCACAGGCTACCTCTTCCTTCTCGGTCATCAAATAATATGATTTATTTGTTATATCATGTAGCATATTCTAGCTTAGAAACTTGCCCCTGCCTACACTGTTACTAGCCTGACTTTAGCGGTTGCATTTTACTTGTTTTTGTACCTCCATTAATAAATTCAATAATCAAGTTATTTCATTCCCTCAGCCTATGGGTTCTACTTTAAACATTCTCCATGTTCATGGAGAGAAGGTGAGCATCTCAGCTCTAGATGGGGGAGCCTAGGCCAACTCTGAAATGTGTCCCGGTGCCCGCATTTTGTTTCGGTTAGGAATTTCCCGAACGTCCTTGCATATCCCAGAAACCGGAGTTTGGTTTCGGGTGGGGAGGAAGACATTCAGGCACAGTGTTGGTGGTCTCTTTCCATTTGCCTGTATCTTACCAGTTTGGATCCTGTGCCTTTGGTGATACAGGCCAGGTGCCTGCATTTCTAACCTGCAGCATGTTGGGCGTTTCCCTTATCTTTTCTGAGCCTAATCGAGTAGTAACAATAACACCTTTCACACTGGTTTGCCTTCAGGTTTACAGGGGACGGCCTGTTCCCTGGCTGGGCTCGTGCTGCTCTTCTGCGTTCGCTCTTATTCATTCACCAGATAGTCCTAATGCCTGCTGTGCTCCCGGCTCTAGTCTAGGCCCTTGGCATACATCAGCGATCAAACTAAGACTTCTGCTTTGCAGGGCTTCCTCCTAGCACGTGTTACATTGTGGTGCATTGATTTGCCTGCGTGATTCTCCGCTAGCTTGTGAGCTGCTGGGTCACACATCTCTTGCACCTGACACGGTGCCACACTTAGCACGTTATCATATGCTCAATAAATATTTGCGGAGATGTGAAATTGCTTCTTAAATGAATAAGTGTTGGAGGTTTGTGTGACCCCCAAGCTGTACTCCTGATTAGGGTTGCTTCATTCTAGGCATTCCCATGCATGCGTGAACAGGTCTTTACTTGCCCTGGTTTGCATTATTGTTTTCTATGCTCCCACGACCTAACCCAATATCCAGAGCATAGCAAAGGCTCCATGTGGTTACTAAGGAAATGCATGACTATTCGCCTCAGTCCCCCTGCCCCTGGGGGGCATGGCGGTACTTGGCTGTGTGTTCTAGAGTCCTCTACCTTTGAAAATAGTGTCTGAATATACTGGTGGCTTAAAAATGTTTGCTCAAGGTGTAAGGGCATCAACAACACAAAGAATGATCTGCTGATCTGGAGGAGGAAGTTAACTGGCTCCAACTGTTTAATTAGAGAGAAGGCTGTTGAGTTTTCTTTTTCTCATTCTTGAATTAATTGTCCGAGCTCTGCACTGTGTTCGCCTTCATTCCATAGTAAAGTAGGAGGGGAAGGAAAATAGAGATCTTCCCCTTTGTCTCAGCTCTGTGATGACCACTGACCAATCGAGTGCACTTGATGCACCCTGCTTCTAGGCAATCTGCGTCTTTCTTAGATCAGTAAGTGCCTTATTTACGCATGTAACTTGTTTTCCATTTTCATTAAATACTTGTATTAGCAGACTTCTGGTTTATTTCATAACAGATTCCTGGTTTTTTAAAAGTCCACACTTCATCCTCAGAATACATATGTGAAAATATAATTAAGTATAAAAAAAATGCACAGAGTGGAGAATATTTGCAAATCATATATCTGATAAAGGACTTGTATCTGGAATGTATAAAGAACTCTTACAACTCAATAATAAGAACCAAGTAACCTAATTGAATGATGGACAAAAGATTTGATAAAACTTGCTCTAAAAAGACACAAATGGTCAATAATCATATTAAAATATGCAAATCAAAACCCAAATGAGGTACCATTTCATGCCCATTAGGAAGACTAAAATACAACAGAAAATAACAAGCATTAGCAAAGAGGAGGAGAATTGAAACCCTTATTTATTGTTGGTGGAATTGTAAAATAGCGCAGCCGATTTGGAAGACAGTTTGTCAGTGTCTCAAAATGTTCAACATAGAATTATCACATTACTTAACAATTCCACTCCTAAGTATAAACCCAAAAGAATTGAAAAGAAGTAATCAAATAAAAACTTATACATGAATGTTCATAGGAGCACCATTCACAATATCCAAAAGGCAGAAATATCCAAATGTCCAGCAATTGATGGACAGATATACAAAATGTGGCATATCCATAGAATGGAATATTACTTGGCCACAAAAAAGGAATGAAGTACTGATTCATGTTACAACATTAATGAACCTTGAAAACATTATACTAAGTAAAAGAAGTGAGAACGCTTTTACAAAGGACTACATAGTGTATTACTCCACTTATAGGAAATGTCTAGAAAAAGGTAAATCCTTAGCGACAGGAAGTAGATTAGTGGTTGCCAGGGGCTGAGGGAAGGAGAAAATGGAAAGTGACTGCTAATAGGTATACAGAAAACTGTATCCATCCTGGAACTTTTTATTGATATTACAACTAATAAAACCAATACAATATTTATTATAGCTTTTAAGGAGCCCTGAGTGAGGTGCTGGAAATTCTAATAATAAAGAGAGTGCAGTATAAAACATGCAGAGCCTTATAAAACAGTGAGAGAGATGACCAATGAACAAACGGTTATAAAAATGCGATCAATGCTCCAATAGAGGTGAGATCAAGGAGCTCTGGGTAAATGATGTTGTTCCAATAGTGGGTTGCTTTTTACTTTATTTTATACCTGTAAGATTTTATACCTCTGCAGAAATGATGTTCAATTAATATATGTTGGCTTGATAGTAACAGAGAACAGAAATAATAAGTTACAATGATAAAATAAATAAAAAGTATAGGCATTACAAAGTTTAAAAGACTACACCTGAAGGAATGTTTCACAACCCAACTTATTTTGTGGTGAACTGTTTAATCAATGGAATTGGTAAATTTGTCCTAAATTTGTAATACAAAGGCCTTGTATTTTAGTAGATTTTGTTAAAGGCCTGACCCTTCTCTCTGTGGTATATGTTAATGTTGGGGTCAACAAAGGAAGATTCCCCCACCCCCTTTAAAGGTCAGAATTCAAATTTATGCAACAACCACATTCTGTTATCTCTAAGATTCAAGCCATAAATTCAAAATCCAGCAATTATCTGAAATTGACTAATTCATCTATTTCTTGCTGTTTCCTGTCTGCTCTTTTGGACCTGCTTGAGCAAGTGTCCCATGGGGTGTCATGTCACCCTGTTGCCATCTGGATTAAGGGTTACTTGGCAAATTTCCTATTGTTGCTCATCTACAAATTGGGATTCATATCTGGTGTTCTTATTGTATAGGGTTGTCTTGAGAAGAAATGGACTTGAACATGTGAAATAACTCTGTGAGTAAAATGCCCTATACCATGTGCTACTTGCTGCTATATTCTTGACCTTCACACATACCCAAAAAGGGTTTTTAGCTCTATTTGATGAAAATCTTTCATAGTCTGCTTTCTGCTGTTCACATTTATGTGAATTTGTCATTTAAGACAAATCAATTTCAACTTGCTCTTTCCTCTCTATTGCTACATTTCTAAATTTTCAGATTGCGTTTTCCTGTGTCTTCTTTTTTTTTTTTTTCCATCAAGGCATTTCATTTGCACATATGTATGACATCCCTAGAAAAAGAATCCCAGGATTTTCTCTCCTGTGTGTTTTCGTCTTTGTTCTTCATGGTCCATGACGCCCGCTGAGGTTGTCAGTGCAATGAAACCAAACTGACAGGACAAGAGCAGGTTGTTCTGCCATTTTTCTAGATCCCTGAGTTGCACATCAAATCTGGGGCTGATCACGCCACACTTGTTTAATCTGCCCATGAGGTTCACAAACATTTTCCCAGCTCTGTGATCGTCAATAATTTCACATTCGTCCGTGTCACCATGTCTCATCATCACAATTAGAAGCCAGATAATGGCCTTGGAGCACGGCCTGATAAGAACCTGGCGTTTGCCTCTCTTTTTGGCATTGTTGATGCTCTTGAGAGCATCAGCCAGGACATTCACTCTCATACAGCATGGAAAGATGGTGGGAAAGTGTGTTTTCACTTTAATAGGCAAAAAGGATACAATTCACTCTTCAATGAAATGCTCTTCACTGACACAGAAGTTACTGGCATAAAAGCGCTGATAACAATCAGTGGAGAAACAGCCACGTTAAATTGGGAGTGTGGTTTAGAGAAGTTTCTCGAAGCATCAGATCTATTCAGAAGCTTGATGCAAATCAAAATTCTAAGGTCTCACCTGAAGTCCAGTGGATCCGATTCTGGGTGAGGACGGGGAGGCTGTAAATCAGTCTTTTAACCAGGATCCCCAGCTGGTTCTTAAGCCCTTTAAAGTTTGAGGACCAGGGCTGTAGGCCCAGATGTCACATTGCCCATTGCCAATAACACTGTGGGGACAGCTGTGGTGTGTGGGCAGTGGGGCGGCGAGTGCGGGAGGTGGTGTAGTCAGAGGCCTGGGAGTCCTCCCCTCCTGGGTGGGCCTCTTGCTTTCCAGCCTCAATCAAGTATAACAGCTTCACTTTTGTTTGTTTTACACACTGGGGGTCCCCTCAGATTTGTTTCATCAAAGGGTTCTCTTGCTAAAAACAAGTCTGAACATTACTGATGCAGGGCAGCAAAAATAGGATCTGGTGTTGGAAGACCTGGGTGCTGATGGTTCTCTTGGCACTTGTCAGCTGAGGGTCTTTGTGCTAGTAGATAAGCTTCTATATCTTCATTTGTAACATGGTCACAATCCTGGGTCTACCTTAAGGGGTGGTTGTGCGGGTCAAATCAGATAACAGAAAGTATCGGGAGTTAGGAATGATCATTAACATTTATCATTGTCATTATCATTAGGGACAGCATACGAATAAGCAGAGGGACAGATTTGAGCTCTTCAAGGAATGAGACGGAACTGATCATTCAAATTCATTTTTCACCAACATAAGATCACACTTGAACATTCCAACTTAATCAAGAGCCCTTGGAAGAAGAGAGGAGGAGAAAGGGAACAACTCACCGACACAAATGCTTGAGACTTGGTTTCATTCAACTGAAGTTGCAATTTCTTTTCATTGTCATAGACGCCATACAGCCTCTTGGACCAGGTCTGAGGGACTCGGCTCTTGAATTTCAAAGAGCTATATAAAGCGAATATCCTTTGCAAATCTAAGACCAGGCAGCTGCAGTTGTAGAAGATGACCCCGAGTTCTTTCATCTGTGAAATTAAAATTGAAAGCATCAATGCCATCTGCATCCAGTGGTGTCAGTTTCAGAGAAAAAAAATGCATAAGAATAAAGGAGTGAGTGCTGCCACATTGTTTTCTCCAAGGAAAACTGTAACATTTCAGGGTTTCTCAACTTTATATTGGTTTAACCAGGCCCTTTGTCTGGAGTGGGAATGGCAACAGGGCTGAGACTTGGTTCCCACATAAGTAGCTGCTACACAGGACCAGGGTCTCCCCGACATGCTGTCTTATCTGCCAGACCCAGGCATGGTTACTGAGTCCAGGGGGCTGGCCTTGCCTGGGGCCATCCTCAGGAAAAAGACAAAGAAACAAAATGACCCCAGGCCAAGGATGCCAAAGATATGAATTGAAGTCTAGGACCTTTCACCAACCAGATCTAATAGATAAGCTTTAATCTCCTCATTTGTAACACAAACATATCATGGGTCATGATACTGGGCCTACCTTAAGAGATGCTTGTGAGGGTCAAATCAGATAACACAAAGTATTATCCAATTTCTGGGTACAGTGGAGACAAACATTGTACCTACCTGACCCACCGTTGAGAGGAAAGTCAGTGAGATGCACTGTATTAATTTCCAAGGGCGGCCACAACAAATTACCACATACTTGGGGGCCTAAAGAGCAGGAATATATGCTCTCACAGTCCTAGAAACTAACACACTCAGTATACTGTTATTCTACCCTAAGTCAGATTGAAGGGGGAAGGACTAGGGCTTCAGTGTTGCAGTTGTTCGGAGCAGGAAGTTCCCTGGCAACAGAACCTAAGGCCAAGGGCTGCTCCTAAGACACTGTCAGGGCTGCTCTGTGTTCCGGCCTCTGCCTCTGGTATACCTTGTCTTAGAGTGTATACCATCACACATTTTAATTTGGAAGTCTGGTAACCAATGCTTTAAAAACTGGAAGCATAAAATAAAAATCCCTATTTAGTGGCACCATGATTACGAGTGACGTGTGTCCCTTTCGGTGTGACCAGATGGAGGGGGGCGTGTTTATGAAAACATCCCAGCCCTTATCACCCCCTGGACTGTCCTCGTGTGCCATTTATTTACATCAAGATGCAAGAGGACACAGACTGTGCTACTTGTATTGTACTGATGCCATTCTACACAAAGATTCAGTCTCTCCCTCTGGGGTGTGAGCTGCTTTCTGTGAGCTTTTATCCGCAGTCCCTGACATCATTCTGCTCGATGTCGCCATCACAGTGGTAGAATCTGAAGGTGATGGGAGAAGCCACTCCTGGCCCTCTAGAGATGTCAACAGAATTACACTGCCTCTGAGTACCTGCTTCTCAACCTTAGAATGACTCAAGCCCGTTTCTAATTTTTCATATTTGATTCAGGCTGGTGCCGACGGAAGATGGAGAAAAACAAACTGGCTTTCATTTTGTAGATTTCTTCAGCCAGAGCAAGAACTCAGGACAGGTGTGTGAACAAATCTTCAAATGCTGGCAGTCAGAAAAATAGCACAAATTTGGGCTTCTGAAAGAGCCTCCATGTCTAGACTGTAAAAGGAACAAAAAGCTAAATTGATTGATTGATGAGCTGAGTCACGCTAAGTTGCCTTACCAATAAGACAGACCTTACCTGCCAGGGGTCAGCCCTGTGCCTGCTGGTGAGCTGCTCACGGCAGCCCAGCCATATGCCCGCTGTGCGTTCTGATGGGCCACCCTGACTTTTCAATTCAGTCACACAGGTGGTTGAACGGTCCAATCGTTTGAAGAAAATAACCTTGGAAAGCTGGAGATTTATCAGCTACGGATTCTTTGGAAGACAATTACTTTTAGCAAAAGACTGTCTTTTCCACAAAATGGGTGTTAAGTGTTAGTGAGCGACCCATGGAACTAAGAGGGTTTAGGACCTCGACAACCTGGAGTACCCGGCCAAGAAGCTGTTCTAAGGGGAATGCTTTTACTGAAAACTTGAGTTTGCCACAATCCAGGAGATGCTATGGCCCTACTGCGTCGGGAGAAGTAATAGTAGTAGGGGCACTAATTTATCTGAGCGCTTACTGTGCACCAGGTACGTTCTAAATGCGTCACAAGGCTGCATTCACGTAAACCTCACAATAACCCATTTCATAGGGAAGGAAATTGAGGTACACAGGGATTAAGGGGTTTGCCCGAATGCACAGCCAGTGAGCAGGGAAACTGGGATTAAGATACTCAAAGACTAGTTTAATATTTCATTTTCAGGAGGAAGAATTATTTACAAAGCGGAGCGCCCATAACCTCGCAGAGCCCTCCCTGTGGGTGAGGGCCAAGTCCCACCGTTTGTGCTCCTGTCCTCTTTTCTGTTGCCCTGCAATTTCTATTCATATTAGTTTTGGTTTCAAAGCAGAATGATGAGAGGAGTCATTACCATGGTTCTTTGCTGTAATTCAAAATGATTAATACCAATTAGCCTAACTACAGCTCAATTATCATTTACAAATGTCCAGTTTGCAGTTTTCATGACTTTATAGAAATGTGAACAAGCGTTTTTTTAAATTTCCTTGACAAAGACAAAAGAACCTCCAACTGTGAGCAACTAAGCTGCTGATTTATAGTCTGAGTTACTGCAGGAAATTTAATTACCAGGAGCTCTAACTTGATTTTCTTTCTGCCCTCAAGGTGAAATCTTTGTTACTGGGAATAGAAAATAAAGAATTGAATCTTAGCGGCTCAAAGGTGGCCTGATGCTCAGATATGTACTCTCTGGCCCCTTCACTCCCACAGGTGGTCTATACCACTTAACTTCTTGATGTCTTAGTTTCTGTGTTACCAAGTGGGAACAATAATGCTTGCCAGAAAGAACATGACTAATTGGAGAGACAGGAGAATGTAAGAACCTCGGGGAACAGCTAGTTCAACTGTATTTCAAAATTAAGGAAACTGAGGACCGAAAAGGGAAAGTGACTTTGCAAGATCACAGAATATTGTCCTGTGATTTCAAGTCTGTGCCTTATTGATAAAATGAACCCACACAGGTTCATTTGTAGGTGAATGAAGGGTGTTGTTTTTTCCTTCCTCCCTTCCTCCCTCCCTCCCTCCCTCCTTTCCATCCATCCATCCATCCATCCATGCTTCATCTTTTATAAGGCTCTGAAAGCTTTCCAAAGGACCACTATTCGTTTGACATCTGACTTCTGGCTAGAAGGAATTCACACATCATTTTCTTGGCTTTATCTAGTCAAAGTGGAATCAATAGATACAACCTTGACAAGAATGACCGAAGAATGTTGATGGAATCTTAAAAGAATGGGGCTGAGAGTGAAAAGGGATGAAATAAATTGGAAACACATTTCAGTTATTTTTTGCAGTACTTTAATTTTATCTGGCTACTTTAGAAGAGTTGAAAGTGATTCTAAAATGCCACCACAGGTCCTGCTGTCATGCCTGCATTCTGCCTTCTCTTCTTAATGAGCAGTGAGGAAGCTGAGATCATCCCAGGTTCAGTTCATTCTTTCTGATATTCTTTCCAAACCACTCCAAGGATCCTACTCTCCATTGACAAGCTATTTGGCCAGACCTGAATGATTATATCTACATTTCAGGTTTATAAAATAAACACCTGGGCGGGCCGAGTGGCTCAGTTGGTTAAGAGCTCGCTCAAGAGTGTGAGCTCTGAGCAACAGCAGTTCGATTACCAGCCTGAGCTGAGCTGCCGCTGAGCTGTCAATAGGTGGCAGGATTGCTCAGCTTAAAAACAAAAACAACAACAAAAAAACACCTGGCCCTACTTAAGCACCAGGATATTAACAGTAATGTGACTATTACCACTTAGCTTCTTATTCACGCAAAGATGAAATAATAAGGAAACTGAAGAGGTAGAGAAAATCTTTTCTATGAGAAAATTCCAAATGTATAAATCTCATGTTACTCTTCTTTGCTTCCAAGTCATCTAACAGTGGGAGGAAGGGGCAAGTGGATATAACTTAGTGGGCTTTCATTTGTAGATTATAATTTGTAAAACTAATTCAGTCTTCCAAGTTGGCTTTCAGAGAGACCTTGAAGTGCAGAAAGGCTTTGAAAATTTTCAGAAAAAAACGACCCAGAGAAGTGTTTGACCTCTGTCTATTCTGTTCCTCCTGATGCATGCCTTGTCCTTCAGAGCAGGAGCTCGCTAGATTTTTTCTTCTCTGTGACTCCCTCATCAGCAGCATGGCTCCTGCTTTACTTATAGCATAGCAGCAGGAACAGCCAAGGCTGGGGATAACTAGCCTTTTAAAAAGAAATGTTGCACCTATACTGCCAGCCCCATTGGTTCTCATCTCTTCCCTGCCCATGTAGCTCTAGAAACATCTTAGAATGGTGAAAGGAGTCTCCTCTGGTCTATGGCCATGAGTGCAACTACTGGCCATCCAAGGAGTCTGTCTGCCTTAGTGGATAGGGAAGGACTCAGGCTTGAATCCTAGTTTTGCTGCCTTCTCCAGTGTGACTTTGGGCGAGTTCCTTGACCTTCTGTACCTGTAACTGACAAGTTCCTTAATCTTTCTGTAAAGTGGGGGTAATAAGAATACTCACAGTGTTGTTGTGGTGATTAAACAAAGTTATGTGCTGCGTGACGACGGGGATACCTTCTAAGCAATGTATTGTTAGACGGTTTCGTCATTGTGCGAACATCACAGAGCATACTTACACAAACCTAGATGGTACAGCCTACCACACACCTAGGCTGCATGGTGTAGCCAATTGCTCATAGGCTACAAGCCTGTACAACGTGTTACCGTACAAAACAACACGAGACTAAATCAAGCATAGGAGAAAAGGATACAATCAAGAGACGAGGTAAACAGTATGAGGCTACTGTCAGTAGAACACGGAAGGCTGTTTTACAACAAACCTTTTTTTTGTGTAGAAAGATAAAATAATGATAAAAAATATAGTATAAGCAATACCGTATTTGCCGGCGTATAAGACGACTGGGCGTATAAGACGACCCCCTAACATTTCCACTCAAAATACAGAGTTTGTTATATACTCGCCGTA